AATGCCTTTAGACCTATCATAATACGACCGAGACGTGTGCTCACCGGATGCGTCCCAGGGACTCACCAGTTGAAAAATTCATGCGTCCCACAGAAAAACTATGCTTCCCGGACGCGTAATTCCGCGTTAACGCAATCCCTGTAACATAATTGTTTACTATGCTAACTTTCTTCTAACTTGAATTTATTCTAGTGGACAACTGACCAAGATTTAGCTGACTCTATAATGAGTGTTGGTGTCAATGATCTTCAAGAAATCAAATTTTATGAGAATCGTGCCAACGGCCAGTCTAAAGGCTTCTGTGCTGTACATGTAGGCTCTGAGAATTCTTATAGACTTATCATGGACAAACTTCCTAAAAGGTAGTTGTTTTGTTTTTCTTTTCATTTTTTATGTGAATATTCTCAATCCTTTCTATTATTGCAGTGCAAAAATTCATTGACATTGTTTTGGATCCACTGAGTGTGCTTTCAATTTGTTACTTTGTGTTCATAGAGGTGTACATGATTTATTTTTCCTGTTGAACAAATTATTTTACCTTGATATTATAGAGAACTTCATGGACAACTACCCGTTGTTACACCATGTAACAGAGTGAGTCTCAATCAGTTTGAGATGGCATCAAGAAAAGGAGATAGTGAGTACTATTTTCAGTTTCTTGGTCTCGTTGAGTTTTTAGTCGCATCATGGCATTCACACAAACGGTTATTAAGCATTGATTGTGAGAAAATTGCATTGCATCAAATGTGATAATATGGTTGACCAGTCACTAATAATGTGAAAGTGGCAGTAATTTTCATCTCCAACAGAGGCACACCTGAAAAATAAAATGATTGGTGTATACCAACCTCATACGATCATTTGCCGCAGTAACGTCCCTTTTTTTGCCATTGACTTGAAAACATATTCTGAACTGTTTGTAAGTCAATCTGAAAACTTTTTTGTTTTGTTTTTAATTAGGTCAAATGTCTGGTGAAGGAAAAGCTGGACCACCTGGTAGTGTTGGCAGGGGTGGGCCTCCAGGACCACCTCCTCGAGGACCACCAGGAGGAGTCAGAACACCTGGTCCTGGACCACCTCCAAGAGGAGGACCAAGGTTTCCACCGGGACCACCAGGACCCCCTCGTGGTATGGGTCCAGATAGATTCCCTCATCAATCACCAGGACCAGGTGCACCAAATATGAGTAAATATATTTCTAAAACACTGTGCATTCACTGTATACAAGTATTCAATTCCACACAGATTTAATGGTATTCGGTAAAATTTGTAATTGTTAATAGTGAAGCAGTGAACAGTTGAATATGGTACTGTTTGATTATTCTTTGACGTATGTGACAGGACAGGGTAGTCTATTGGTTGGTTTGAGTCGCTACCCTTAAAGCACTAATCGCACTGCAGTACATGTGCTCAAAACTGCTTTAGTGATAATCAAACATACTATACATCTTTTAATCATAGACCCTTGAAGGATAGAAACCTGAGAATTTCATTTGATCCAAACTGTGTTTGAATTACTTATGCTAATTACTATTGCTGCCTGTAGCGTTTGAATACCAATGCAACATGTTAGCGGGCAAATTTGCTAGTCAGTTAGCAATGTTGTGTTCAGTACATTAACCTTGGCATTGACATTGTTTGATTCCAATAGACAAGTGTGTCTAACATATAATTAAATACCAGACAGCAAATTTGTGGTATAAACAATATCAAATATATTTTTTCTAGAACAGCCAGCTCTTAGGGCAGATGAAAAACAATGCAATTACCGTACTTGACCGCGTTAGCGCCCATGCTCGGTCAAGTGCCCACCCCCCACTTTTGCGCAATTTTTATATTCGGGGTCACATTCAAAATGCCAATAATTTATCGTTTTTATATGATACAACGTGGATATTGGCCGCCGTGAATATGTTGTGAATGTATAGGCCACGGTAACCGTGCGTAAACTACATTTCGACAATGACCTGTTAATAAAAGTAAAATGCAGTAAATATTTCATGCCGTATTCAGTTTACCGCTAAAAATTGCTATTTACCATTTAAAAACAAAAAAAAACATGTCGTTTATTCGCCGGAATCAACTCCAACAGATCGTACTTCGACATTGATATTTCCATTCCGCATAGCGTTACCCCGAGGGTCTTCGGAAATTTTCGAAGAATTTGCGTTGGTACCACACAGCATTTTGATTGGATAGTAACAGACTTGACCCGTTAGGTCAAAGGACGTTGATGCAGGTCAAATGCAAATACATTCACTACGTTCAATTACCCACCATAGACTCCGGTCAGTCAAAATGACTATTTTGAACTGTAGGCATTAATCAGCGATTCTGCTGGTGACGGAGAGATAGAATCCAGGTCAGGGGAAGCCCCATGACCTCGAGATTCTTTTACCCCTTACGTCACGAACCCACGTGACCGAGGCCATGTGGCAACGCCACAGGTAGCCGTCCATCACTCTTAATTCTCTCCGCCTCG